ATTCTGCCCCTATTATTCGTAAATAAGCTGAATAACTGCCCGCTTCTCAGATGGTTGCGCTGAAGCAACGAGTCGTTAATTCTTTGTTTAGTGAAATTCTTGGTTAGAACAAAGGTTGCCCTTTGAACGGATTCGAACAAGCACCTCTGGGGTTAAAATTCGACCTGTTCGGCAATATCACCACGCCAACAATGAGGGTGCTAGCATTCAGCACGCGCATTTCAACATAACTACTAGGTCACATGTAAGACACCATGTCGCCGGCTTCTGGGAATTCCGTCTAGCCTGCACGCCGATTTGCCCTCTTTTGAAATGAAGAATATAAAAGTCAGCCGATCACTGATGACATGAAACTGCGCAGTTACAGAGAAAGTGGCGTATTTAATAGTTGGTGGGCTACCTTTTATATTTCAGCTAATCTCAAACCGGAATCTGAAAATGAATAAGACCTTTGAAACAGTCAACTTCCAATGATATTACTGTACTTATTTCATGACAAACTTCGTTCCCGCGTTGGGCCGAACAGAAACATGTTCTCGAACGACAAGTAAAGTACCATTATCTACAGTGTGCAGATTCAGAGCAGTGACACGTGTGTTATGCAGAGTGGCGATATCGAAGATTGATAACAACTGTTTGAAATTAAACAGACATTTTCAGCTTTATATAACCTGACAGATGTATTTCACTTGAGTCCGTACATGCTTTTATTCGGCCAAACGTAGTGACACGGTGTTGCGTTAATACACTACAAAAATATAATACGACAGACAAGTTTCTTACTTAAAAATCCCCGGAGAAGCGAAAGGTTCAAACCGTTCACTCGGTTGTTCGATCTTCAACTTTCTGCACACGGTAAAATTCATTTATAAAGTCTGAAGACCCATGAATCATGAGCTATTGAAGCAACGCGCATCAAATCGATGGCGGCACTATCACACGTGCCATTTACTATCGTTTACTCATCTCCCTTTATAAAACGATCTTCGGTGATGGTTACAATCCTATCACTGGAGAAGCTAACGCCTGTCGTGCTCTTTCAGGGACACAAGCAGAATTCAGCTTCAACGTCATGCAAAAATACGAGCCTCGCAAAGTTAAAAATGATCGCTGTCACCGATCCGTGGGTTCCTTGCTGACCGACTGCACAAATAACCGTCCGCTTATTCAACGCTTTTCGTTACATATCGAAACAGCGGTGAACTGAACAGTAACAACCGCGGATGCTTTGCGTGATCCGACGTTGCTCATTAACAAAGCAGCTGCGCAGAGATACATCACATTTCAAAGAAACAATAAACTGCAGGTGAATAAACCTGATATTTGACAACAATAATAGTGGTTGTTGCTGATCTTCAAGGGCAGGGAGTCAATGAAATGATAGAAGAGAGTGGATCAAGTTTGAGAAGAGTCATCGATTTCCGCTTCAATCTTAACCATCCGACGTAGTCGGTGTATTTCCGCTTTGAGTTCGTCTCGTTCCTTAATTAACTGGTTCACGGCCTAAATTCAAGCAGATCAGCACAATGTTCTAATTTGAGGACAACACGCTTACCTCTGTTTCAGCCGAAAACAGTATACTTTCTAGCAGCTGTTTGGCACTAGGTCGTAATAGAGGATTCGACTGTGTCAACTGCAAAATTATTCCAGTCTAAATCAAAAATCGTCAATACAATCATGACTTATGACAATCATAATAGCCAGTGGTTAATCACCTCAATGGGCCACTTGCTCCGGAATGCTTCAGGAATAGTAGAACGGTTTCTGAGCTTGAAAATCATTTCATACCTTTCCATGCTGGTCTTGAAAGGATAGTAGAGTTCGTAGGCAATAACGCCAATGCTGTACATGTCCACCTGAAGCATAATCTTTTGATTTTATCCTGCCGTATCTAAGAACACGCCATACCTTGTTCGTGTACACCGAAGACTCGAGCTGTTCTGGCGCGGCGTAGATCACCGTACCCACTCCGATGCTGTGCACAGCCTGCTGATTTAAGAGAGCCAAGTCACGGCTATCAGTTGGTCGCTTAATTGCTTCTTCATTTGCATCGCGAACGTTTTCCCATGAATCACAAGCGAGGCCAAAGTCAGCGACGACAACATGGGGCCT